ACACAATTGATGTGTGTATGGATTGGGATATAAGTTGTATGAGCCCCTAATAAAATGTTAAAAAAAAAAAAGACACGTCTGGGGAACTCACAGGGGCATTTCTACCCTAACCTATAGGCTTACCAAGAGTTGCAATCAACTTGGCTGCAGTAAGTTTGGCTAGTTTTTTTTGTTTGGTTTTTTGGTGATACTGGGAGCTTGTTTCCTGTCTTTCAAACACCCGCAGGATCACCTGTGGTAGAGAAGTTTCTGTGGAGCTTCCAGACTGAGATCTACTAGAGAGAAAGGCCTGGAAATCTGCTTCTGAAAAGTCCCCCATGAAAACCTCCTGGGTCCCACAGAACAGAGTCTGATTCACTTGTTGTGGACGCGTCCTTAAGAAGGATCCATCACTGGAGAGAAGAACATCACATTTAGCAAAGGAGAGAACTAACAGAGAAGGGAGATACTTGGTTACTGGGTGAGATGGGTTGATGCAGAGGCCGCCATTCACACACACCAGCAATTGTGTAGATGACACAGGAACGGGTAACATTTTATGTGTTGTGCATGCAATCATGTACAACATGAGTTAGAGGCAACTTGATAGCAGCCAGCAAGTAATACCCTGCAGACTTCTCAGAGACTACAGGGATCTCCCGTCTTACCAGAATAGTGTGGTAGCTTCTGTAAAATTTCCAAGCTTAGATGATCATTATCATATTAACATTTTAGTTCCTTTTAAAAAAAGTATAGATTCCACCCTGTGTACAGGAAGACACAGAATCCACTTGGAGCATCTGTAAAGAAAATGGTGTTTGTCTCTGGAGGTTCTCACACTCCTTTTAGGTGATTAATAAGTGTGCACTGACTGTCTGAATGCGGCAGACCTTGATGATAAGAATGCAGGCTCTATCAGTGTTACACTGAAAGCCATTGTATGTGAGGATGACTTCATCACGGTGGCATGGCCAGTCTGTCTCTCTTCCCATCACTTACGGAAACAGTTCGCTTCTCTGGAATGACAGAGAAGAAAAGGAAGAGTTCAAAATGTCGAACATGCAATCAAGTATCATATTCCTTGGAATAGTTGTGAAATAGATGACTCAAAGGAAAGAAAAAGCATCATTTCTAAAACATGTCTGTAATATCCTTCATAATAATACTGTAATTAAATGTCTAGTCATAAGAAAATGCTTAGACAAAATATAGC